CCCTGGTGTGTCATCAACCACTGCAGCGGCTGATGGTCGGTGATTAAGGTGAATTCCCTGCCCTGCAGATACACCCGAAAGTGCTTCACCGCCCATACGGCTGCCAGCCCTTCCCCGTGGTAAGAGCTGTACTTTGCTTCCGCCGGGTTGCAGCTCCTACTCGCATATACCACTACTCTCTCTTCCCCATCTAGCTCCTGGCAGAGGATTGCACCCATGCCCTGGCTGCTCCAATCGGTGTATAGGGCAAAGGGCTGGTCCGCCTGTGGCAGTTGCAGTACTGTCGCTGTCTGTACTGCTTCCATTAAGTCCCTCAACGCCCCTTCCTGCTCTGCTCCCCACTCCCACTTCTTGTCCTCCTTTAACAGGGAGTTCAGCGCCGCTGCTCGCTTGCTGAAATTGGGCACAAAGCGTCGGTAATAGCTGAGAAACCCCAGTACCGCCCGCAGTCCGCTCCTATCCTTGGGCTGCTGCAGTCGGTCCAGCACCTCTACTTTAGCCTTATGGATCCCCATCTGGCCTCCCCTCACCTCATACCCCAGATACTGCACTGTCGCCTTCCCCCATCTGCCGCTGCTAGCGCCTCCAAGGTATGCTCCACATCTCTCACATGCTCCTCCGTCGTTTTGCTGAAGATGACCACGTCATCTATGTAACATGCCGCACACTCCAGCCCCCGCAGCACACTGTCCATCATGCGTTGAATTATTGCTGACGCGTTTCACAGCCCGAATGGCATGAACAGCCACTCATACAAACCATCCGCCCCGTGAAATGCAGTCTTGCGCACATCCTCCTTCTTGATCCTTATCTGATTGAAGCCCTGCCGGAGATCTAACGTGCTAAATATCTCCCCTTCCCCCAGCTTGTCAAAAATCTCTTCTGCTGTTGGCATGGGGTACCTGTTAGGCACAGTCAGCTTGTTCAAGGCTTGGTAATCCCCACACATGCGCCTGCTCAGCACCTCCCCCGTAAGATCCTTCCTTGCTGCTATCACTGTAGGCGTGGCGTACTCTGATCCCGACCTCTGGATCAGGCCTGCCTCTAGCAGCTCCTTGCATTTTTCCTTACAGACATCCTCATCCCCTGGGGCCATCCGCCTCTTCCTCTGGAACACTGGCTCATCTGAGGTCAGCTTTAATTCCATCTCTTTCACCGTACATTTCCCCAGCTCCTGCAGTGTAAAGGTAAAAGCATGCCTGAACTTGGCTAGCCCGCCTGCAGGGCCTCCTTCTCTTCCTTTCCCATGGTGTCTCCTATCACCCATTCTGCCTCATCCTTCACGGGTATGGTAGCCCATGCCCCCATCTTCTGCACCTCTCGCACCTGCTTCTCCCTTTCTAGTTCTGCTTCCAGTACTACCCCCCTCCACATCCTTCGAACGAACCACAACATCACCTGACCATCCATCGCCTGGCCGAGTGCCCGCCTCCTCTCTTGCTCTGTCACCCCGCTTGCCTTTGTTGCGTTTTCCTCATACCCCATCGCCAGCTCCCACTCCAGCGCCGTCGGTTCTTCCCACTGCTGCTTCTTGTGATCATACACCATCCCCTCCTTTGGCTCTCCATCTTCCATCCTGAACCCTGATGCCTTATCGTAGGCCACTAGCGCCGGCCATGCTCTGTGCTCTGCCCCCACCTTGTTGCAAGGACATTGTGTCTCATGTCTCCCTTTCTTTACAGGCGCTGCCGTCCTGCCTGGCTCCAAGATATCCCTTACCTTCCTACTCCAGTCCCTCCTTATCCTGTCTAACTCTTCCTGCAGCTGCTCATCTGGCACAACGTTCTGCCAGTACCTCCTTACTCTGTGCGCGCATGCCCCCAGCCTTGCGGCGTCGCACCTAACCCCCTTTCCCAATTTCTTCCTTACCAGATCCCTCACTTTCCTCACAGGCTCTCTGCAGTCTCCCTCCAAGTCCAGATGCTCCAACAGGTACACCAACTTCTCCTGCCTTTCCTTAATCCAGTCCATGACGCACAGTAAATCCAGCAGCATTGCTCCTCGTGGGTCCTCCACCCCCCTTCCTTTTCCGGCTCTTGACACCCCTTGGCACTCCCATCCCGCCACCAACAGGTCCACCTGTCCCCAGTCTCTGACCACTTCTGGCGTTATCTCTCTCACATCCTTCACTACCCCCCGCATTGCTCTGTCTATCACCTCCTCTTCCAGCAGCTCGGGATTCTCCTTCTGCAGAATTCTGACGTGATGTTCTGCCATCTTCCTTGCCTTCTCGTTTTTCTCCACATAGACCCAATCTTTCACCGCTATCCCTGCCTTCACTACTACTGCCAGGCCTGCACCAATGCCTCCGGACAGTTCTACCAGCCTTATCGGTACCTGCCATCCACCTACCGCTGCCGCCTTGCCGATCAACCCCACTCTTCCCACATCCTTCCTCCCTGCCTCGCCTACCGCGTACGCCCTCTTGGGTTCCTGTCTCACAAACTGCACCGGTAATTCCCTTACCTCACTGTTCTTTATCCAGTACTGCTTCCGAAACTGCACCCGCTCCTTCCATGTGCAAATGGTCATGCCCACGCCCCATATCAGATCCGTCCCTAGCAGCACATCGAAGTCTTCCGACTCCGATATACCGCATTGCACCTGGAGGCAAGTCTGTCCTTCCTGCCCCGGCAATAGTGTCACTTCTATGGGTGTTTTCGTGCAGGGTAACCACTTAGGCTCGCCTCCTTCTGCCGTCATCACCAACATTCCTTTCTTCACACTCTGTCCTGGTCCTGTCAGTCCTAACTTCTGTGCCATCCGCTTTCCCAGCATGACGCTCTGTGCTCCGGTATCCAGCATCGTTGTCTTGGCCTTTTCTCCCCCCACCATCACTGCTCCTGGCTCCACCATTAGCACCGTGGCTTGGCTTGCCAGTCTGTCTTTTGGGTGGCGGCTAGGCTCCTCTGTTCTATCCCGCTGCTCCTATTTGTTGCTCGCTGGCCGCTTCCCCTCTTTCACCACGTGTTCCTTCCGTCCGTCCCTGCCCCCACTACGCAGGGCTAGGTCGTCCCTGTTGCGCAGCACCATGAACTGATACTCTGGATCTGGCTCGTCTATCGTCTCTGCTTCGTCGTCGTCTTCCCTCGCATACAGCCCCACTTCTTTCTCTGGCTTTCCGCCCAGTGCCTGCAGTTGCGCCTGCAGCTTGCCCATTTGACCTTTTATTTCCTCTGGCGTCCTACGCGGTCCTCCTGAGCGCTGGTAACAATCTTTGCATCTATGCCCCCGCTTCCCACACACCTCACAGGTTGGTGCATCTGGGCAATCCTTGCGTCGGTGTCCCGGCTTCCCGCAGGTGTTGCAGTTCCTGCAATTCCTCATCAAGTGTCCTGGCTGCTTGCACCGGTGACAGGTGTGTGTCTCAGCTCCTCTCTCCTGTCGTCCTTCCTCCCTTCCTCCCGTCTCAGGCACCATCGTTGCTGCCCAAGCGGGATTCTTCCTCTCTGTCACCCTTGGCAGGTACACCTCGTACTTCCTCTGCACCAACTCCACCCTTTCCGCTAGCTCGAACACTTCTTCCAGTGATGCATTTGCCCCTAGCTCATAAACTCTCATTCTCAGCCCTCCTGCCAGTCCCTTGTCTAACCCATTCAGAAACTTACTAATGATCATGCTGCTGTCCGTGCACACCACGTCTTCCGCCAGGTTCATTAACCGTCCGTAGTACGTCAGCAGTGACTCCTCATCCCTGCGCCTAAACTCCTCAAATTCCCGGATGCGCGCTGCCGTATGCCCAGGGAACTGCTTCCTTAGTCGCTCCAGGAACAGTACCGTTGGGTCTTCGTCATCCTCATCTGCCCGTCTCAGCCAATCACCCATCTTCATGCGGTACAGGGCTTCTGCTTCCCCTCCCAACGTGTTTGGCAGGCTTAGGAAGAAGCCGATGGGATCCATGCCGCTTCGATCGCACCTGTAATTGACGTTGCTTATCTGCATCAGGTAGTTCTTAAGGCTTGGGCCTGTACCTTCGTTCCCCGTGAAGCGTACCGGCACCTCCATGTCAGAGGTCAACTGGTGATCCCCGATTGATTCTAGAGAAGGGTTACAGGCTCGTTATCCTTGGGGGTTATGGGCGCACTGACTCGCTACTTAACAAGCCCTTTTATCCCAATGGTCTAGTGGCTGGGATTCTGACATTGTATCAGAGCGAAGGTCTCGGGTTCGAATCCCAGTGTGTGCACTTCGGGCATCCTAGTACGGGGGGGTGTCAGAGGTCCACTGGTGATCCCCGATTGATCCTAGAGAAGGGTTACAGGCTCGTTGTCCTGGGGGGTTATGGGCGCACTGACTCGCTACTTACCAAGCTCTTTTATCCCAATGGTCTAGTTGTTGGGATTCTGACACTCCACTCGTGGCTGTGCTGTTGCGCCCCACCTCCCCATATCCCAGCTTCCAGAACCTCCCTGATCTGTTCGAGCAACCCCTTGCTACTTCCCTTTTTCTCCTCTGCTTCCAGTGCTAGTCCCATACAACACACGCTCTAGCCCTTCACGTGCCGCTCTTGCTCCGCTTGATCCTTCTCCGTGTCGTCGTGGCCTCCTTGTTCCAATCGGGCTCGGACTCCTCCTCCGCTCTTCTTCACGATCTTCCCTGTGCCTTTCCTGATCACCCCCCTGCCTCTCTCTCTTTGCAGGTGAACGCTCCTGGTGACGCCGCTCTCGCTCTCCTTGCTGCCGACCTCCTTCTTCTGCTCTTGAACCGTTCGGTGAACTCCTTCCCCTGTCCTTGTGTCGTCCTTCTTCGCCACGCCTTTCCTCCCACTCGGGATGTCCTCGCTGGTGCCGCCCCTCGTCATCTGACTTTTCTTCTCGTTTCTCCCGATCCGGCTGCCGACCTCCGCTCATCGCCATGCGTCGTCTGCGGTCATCCCCTGGCCTTGGTTTCGGTGAGCGGAATACACCCATCGCTGCCCCCTAACTTGTCCCGCCTTCTTGGCGCGCCCTCGATTGGCGTTCATCTCCTCTGCCGCTCCCTCGCTGTGCTCCTCCGCGCGGTCATGCACGTGAGCGTTCTCCTTCCTTGTTTTCTTCGCCTTCCTCCCGCGCTTTTCCACGACGGATCCGCGCTTCCTCATCCTTCTCGTTAATCCCTTGCCTTCCTTCACCCCGCGCAGTGGGGGATTCGTCGTCGCCGGCGTTGCCGCGCCTTCCGCCGCCCCGCGCATTGGGGAATTCTTCGTCGCCGACGTTGCCGCGCATTCCTTCGCCCCGCGCAGTGGGGGGTCCTTCTTCGTCGGTGACGCCGCGCCTTCCGCGACCTCGAACAAGCGGGGGTTCTTCCCCTTCCTCCTCATCATGGAACTCACTCGCCGAATCCATCTCCACGTCGCCATCGCGACGCCCTTCGTCCACTCCGTGCTGGCCTTCCGCCAGGTTCCACGGATTGCTGGTGGCGGGTCGCCTCCAAGGCTCCGATCTGACGCGCAGATCCTCCCCGCTTCCCTCTCCTCGCACGCCCGTTGGCGTCACCAGATCCACGCGATACGCTGCCCTTCGTGGCGAGCGCGGCGGCGACCTTCCGCGCTCCCTTGAGCGCCTCATATGCGACGGAGAGCGTTCCCGCCGCGAGTACGTCCGCTGCGCATGCAGCTCATGGCGATTCATATCGCCGGTACACTTCTCTTGACTTGTGAGAGTTCCAGGCTCCCACAGCATGGCTACCAGGAGTGGCTTAGTCACCTAGCTGCAATAGCTTGAGTATGGTAACCGAAATCCACTATGATAGGTAAACAAGTCAAAAGAACAAGATTGCTTTGCTAGGCTAGGCTACTTGTGCCTGGCTACCCAGTCGCGCAATTCTCTGTTAAAGTCATAGGAGCCATGGCTAGGGTGTGAGCTAGCCAAGGAGTGTCGAGAGAGTTGAGAACAAGAAAGAGATGGTTTCACTATAGAGAGTGAAGTACAAATAGGGTAGGAAAGGGGGGTACACCACCAAGCAGGAAGTTAGGATAACTACACTAAGGCTAGAACTACATGCAGCTATAATAATATAATTCTGACATCCCCACTTAACTGCATGCAGGAAGAGCCAAGTGCTAGACACAACCTGCAGGGGTACACCAAGCAGAACAAAGCAGCAGCACGCAAGAGCAGTGACAACCAGTGCAATAGTGGCAGATACAGTTGCAGTAACCCCTCAGCCAAGGTAGAAGCAGCAGAAGCAGGAGCGTGCGGCGGCAAGGGCGGCTGCATAGCAGAAGTAGGTGCATGTGGTGGCAGGCCGCCTGGAGAGCAGGAGCGTGCGGCGGCAAGGGCGGCGGCACAGCAGGGCTCAACGGCAGCACCTGCCGCTCAACATCAGTAGAGAGTCAAGACAAACAAGGGTGGCGACAGGGGCTGCAGCTGGAGGTACCACGGTAGCAGTGGGCGGCAGTCGCAGATGTGTGGCTGTTTCGTCCCTCATCTCCCCCCCCCCCCCCCCCCCCCCCCAGCGGCATGTGCAGCAGTGGGAGAGAGAGGAGGAGAGGCGGCAGCAGTTCACTCACACCCGCCACCCCCATACCCTCCCCCCCACTGCTGCACCCGCAGCAGGGGGATGGAGGAGAAGGGGGGGGGGGGGGGCGGGGGGGCTGGTGCTGCAGATCCCCTCCCCCCACTGCTGCACCCGCAGCAGATGGAGGAGAAGTGGGGGGCGGGGGGGGGCTGGTGCTGCAGATCCCCTCCCCCCCACTGCTGCACCCGCAGCAGGGGTGCTGCAGATCCCCTCCCCCCCACTGCTGCACTCGCAGCAGGGGAATGGAGGAGAAGGGGGGGGGGGGGCTGATGCTGCAGATCCCCTCCCCCCCATTGCTGCACTCGCAGCAGGGGAATGGAGGAGAAGGGGGGGGGGGGGGGGGGCTGATGCTGCAGATCCCCTCCCCGCCACCCCCTTAACCTCCAAGCTCCCCCCCCCCCTCCCAACACAAGGTGCGGCAGGGAGAGAGAGAGGAGGAGGTGGTGGGTGGCTGGTGGTGCAGAAACCCCTCCTGCCACCCCCTAGGTCAGCCACCCCCCGGAACCACACCCCTCTTGCCACCCCCTCACCCTCCATGATCCGCGCCCCCAACTCCCTTCCCTCCCCGCCCCCCCCCCCCTCCTTTTCTGCTGCACGTGCAGCGGGAGAGGGAGAACGAAGTTGGGGGGGGGGCGGGTCCTCGGGCGACGAGGCAAGGGGCGACGAGGCCGCGGGCGACAGGTCCTCGGGCGACGTGGCCGCGGGAGACAGAGCCGCAGGCGACGGCGCCTTTGGCGACGAGGCCGGGGCCTAGGGGCGACGGTGCCGACGGGCCTAGGGGCGGTGGGCGCGAAGGGGCCGACGGGCATAGGGGCGTTGCGCAGCGGGCGACGGGCCGGAACCGGGGCCTAGGGGCGTCGGGCGCGAGCGACGGGGCTGAGGGGCCTTGGTCGACGGGGGACCGCGGGGCGTAGGGCCGTGCCTAGGGGAGCGACGGGCGACGGGCCGGAAACGGGGCCTAGGGGAGCGACGGGCGTGAGCGACGGGCCGGGGGGGCGGAGCCTAAGGGCGACGGGCCTAGGGGCTACGCGCGACGGGCTACGGGCCGGGACCGAGGCCTAGGGGCGATGGGGCCGAGGGGCGACGGGCCTAGGGGCGACGGGGCCGGGGCCTAGGGGCGACGGGCACGAGCGACGGGCCGGGGCCTAATGTCAAGAGAAGGGCCACACGAGGGTGGCACGTAGGGCAGCAGGTGGTGGGCCCAAAGAGAGTAGGTCCTCAGGTTAGAACCAGCTCTTAATACCATGTTAAAGTCATAGGAGCCATGGCCAGGGTGTGAGTTAGCCAAGGAGTGTCGAGAGAGTTGAGAACAAGAAAGAGATGGTTTCACTATAGAGAGTGAAGTACGGTACAAATAGGGTAAGAAAGGGGGGTACACCACCAAGCAGGAAGTTAGGATAACTACACTAAGGCTAGAACTACATGCAGTTATAATAATATAATTCTGACATTCTCTGCGTGATGGATTGAGCCCGAGCCGCCTGGGCCTTGGATTGGCCCTCGCCAGATTTCCTGTCTCCCAATGTCCCTGAAATTGCACCCGCAGCGCCCTGCCACCCCCAATGCTACCAACCCTTCGCTTCTCCAATACCCAACTACCTCCCTTATAAATTGAATATCAATTGCTACAGCACTTCTACACCTCAATTAGCGTATGTCCAGAATATGATGCACTTACCATTAGATTCGGTGACAGTGCAGCACATGGAAGCAAAACATTATTGGGTGAGGGAGTACTGAACATGGAGTTTTGGCTGCTGCTGCATGGCAGTCATGAGATAAGCTGCTCGCCTTGCCACATTATGCTCCACTACGCCAAGTTTTCTCGAGAATCAACGTTTTGTACACAGACGAGGATTTAGATTACTGCATTAGACATACTGGTTACAATAAGATGACACATTTTGTATGAGAGCTGCCTGCTGTGCTGTAGGGAAAGACATTCCCCAATGATCTAAAGTGGAACCTGATGGTGCAGGCCACACATCATCAATTGTAGCACTGGCCAGCACATTCTCGAAAACAGGTGCAAGCGGTCTGGTGGGATTCTGTGGTTGAATGTTGACCTGCTGGAGATGTATGCCAGTGCATGGCACAGTGTCACTGCAGCGCATGAAGATACCAAACTTGTCACGGACGAGTGCTGATATGTTCCGGTACCAGATGTTGTGCAGAGCAACGTTGTTCCCACTGCCACCACACGTCCAATTTTGATGCCTGTCACAGTAGAACTGCACAAGAGAAAAAGGTTGGAGACATGATTCACCATTCCAAGAAAGGGTTGAAAAGCATGATGGTCTCATTTGATTTCACGCACCTGATTCAGCATGATGGCCTTGCTGGTGTTCTTCATGTGGATGTTTTCGTACAGGACATCCCGGACAACCCCGAGGCCCCCTTGCCATGTCTTGATGCGGATGCCGTTGGTCAGATTGATGAGCGTCACATTTACCACCCGCACCTTCGCCACACACCCCACATTGCCATCCCATCCGACACTCCCGATGCTGAAGCAAATGCACAGCACGATTGGGGGTCAAGTACTTACTCATGAAGGGCTCAGAGTAATACACGAGATTGGTGGAAGGAACAACATATATGGAAGAAATGTAAGTTAAGGTATGCTGATCTGGTGGCGTTATTCCACCCTGGAGTAATAGAGACTGACCTGATTCCATGTCCTGCTGTTGCCTCCAGGTTCCTCACAGTGATGTTATACGCCACCAGCTCCCCCACTGCAACAACTGACACATCATCATCACCTGTGTACACACTCAGAGGGATAGCAATGGCAACAGCAGCTGTCATGGCCCACGAAACAGAAACTGCCACTGAAACAAAAGAGAGCATTGGGATGTTGCTGACCTCCATGCAGAAAGCACTCTTCAATGAGAGCGTTCTTGATGCCGACGAGCTTGAGGCTGTCTGTGTTGGGACTCCTGCTGGGCGAGTTCGTCTTGTAGTGCCGTATGTGCAGCCCATCGCACGTGTACGCAAAGAGATGATACATGGGAGAGTTCCTGCAATTATGCAAAGGGAATAAAAACCCTTTGTTTCCACTCCAGTACACTTCACTCCGTTCTGTTCCTGCTGATCAGGAAGACTCAGCTACACCAGAAACAGTAACCCAGCGACACCCAACGAAGAACCCCTGACGCACCAGATAGAGATCCCTTCCACCGTCGTGTTCTTGCAGTGCATCAGCCGGATTGCAAATGGCCTGATCGGAATAGTCTTCTGCAGGGTGTAGTTCCTGAATGCTTTCCAGAACTCCTGCCCCTGCCCGTCGATTCGGCCCCCGCCTGAGATCACGAGGCCAGAGAAGTTTTTGAAGGAGAGAAAGCCGCTGGTGTAGGGGAAGTAGGTGCTGGTGTAATCAGGAAAAGGGTACGCTGCAGGGTCCGATGGACCTACCAGGACCCCGTCAATCTGAATCGACATTGAAAGGTGGGGGGTGGGGAGGGAGAGGGGGGATTGTGGGAGGCAGGGCTTTATTGGGGAGAAGGAGAGGACAGCGTTGGTAGAGAAGTGCATCGAGGTCAGAGTCATGGAAAATGGAGGAGCCATAGTAAAAACCTATTAAGGGCGGCTATGCAAGGTGTCGCCTTCCCACCGTTCCTGACCCACTTCTGGACTGAAACCACTTTACCTGCAATCGCATGCCAGGCCCACACGGGCCCTGCATGGTGATGGGCTGCACGGCATAGCGGCCACCCCACGGCACCAGCACCATCGCCACCACCCCCTTCTCCACCGCATGGCTGCACGCAGCATGCATGGCCGTGGTCAGCGCATGTGTATCGTCCGCCACTGCATCCCCCACCGCCCCATATGCCACCACGTCAAATACGCCTGCGAGGGGCTGGGATCTCCACCGTCCCTGCTGCTGCTGCTGCTGGTTGTGCTGCTGCTGCTGCTGCTGCGCGGTGATTGGGCGGGACCGCCAGTGGGGTTTTTGGAAGGAGGAGGAGAAGGCGGAGAGGAAGGGGAAGGGGGCGTCTGTGGACTGGCTGTTGTCGAGCACGAGAAAGGTGAGAGCTGAGGGGGGGCAGGGGAGATGGTGAGAGAATGGGTGGTAGGGGGTTACTTATAAATTGACTCAGAAGGGGAAGGGGGCGTCTGTGGACTGGCTGCTGTCGAGGACGAGGAAGGTGAGAGCTGGGACGTGGGGGGGGGGGGAATGGGTGGGTAAGGGGTGGTGGGGGATGATTTTTGAGTTGAATTAAGAAGCCTTTGTGGACTGGCTGCTGTCGAGGACGAGAACGGTAAGAGCTGGGCCGTGGGCGGGGAGATGGTGGGCGAAGGGTGGTGGGGGATGGGTGAAGGGTGATGGGCGATGGGTGATGGGCGATAGTGGGGTGATGCGTACGGAGGAGCGAGCGGAAGGCGAGCAGGCAAAGCAGGTATGGGGGGTGGAAACGAGAGATGGAAAAGGAGTAGCGGATAACTCAGAAAGGGAAAGCGAAAGCACGGCAGTATGGGAGATGCGGGCGGAGAGACAGCAATGGCAACGGCAAGAACACGTGGCGCGTACGTTTGACTGTGTTGCGGGAGTCGGAGCGCGCACCTTGGACTGTGTTGCGGGAGTCGGAGCGGAAGAGCCTCTCCACGTACACGCCCTGCCACGGGCACGCGGCGCACGCGGGTGAGGCGGGGAAAAACGGGGGACGCGAGGGAGGCGGGGGACGGGGGAGACGCAGGGGGAGCGGGAGAAGCGGGGGAGGCGGGGTACGCGGGGTACGTGGGGGAGGTGGGGACAGGCACGTCCATACCAGGACGACGACAGCAGAGAGCATGCATAACGAGAGGACGTGCGACGGTAGGTACGGCTGAAGTCGCACGGAGGTGCGAGGGGAGGTACTGTGGAGGCAGTACGGGGATGGCATGGACGGACGCAGTACGAGCATACGGATACAGGCGTATTTCAGATGTCTTGAAAGGCACACGAGCTGACTTTTGAGTCGACTCAAAATTCAGTACGAGCATACGGAGTTAGGCGTCTTATAGATGTCTCAAAAGGCACACGGCAATGGGTTTTGATCGGAAAGACCAAATGTGGGAAGGGTGAAAGCTGACAGAAAAGAGACCTCGTCGATTTGAAGGAGTGTCACCTGCAGAAGGAATGTGAGCGACACGGCGACGACTATCAGCGACACTGCAAGCAACCTCAACCGTCGCACGGAAACAACCGTGCGGAAGGAGTGATGTGACATCGTGCGATCGCCGCTCTCCTGCTGCTGTCAGTCCATGTCAGAGGTATGCTGTCAGCAAGGAGTGATGCTGGCTCAGTTTACCTCCAAAAAAATACCGGTTACCAAGTGCTAGGGTGTGGCGAGTAAGCGATGAATATCTGACTTGTGATACCGAAATGGACAGTCACGATTCGTGCACGAGTTAAATGCGAGAGTCAGCGAGCAGATTCGAAGAACCAGTGACCTTTGGATCTGGCTGCCCTGTTTTTGAGTGACGCAAGATTCATAACATGCAGCCACTTCCATTTTTTTCCGGTTTTACATCTACAACATTTCCAATGTTTTCAAATTTTCATGTCTCACTCTTTCGAAGATCTTGACGGGGAGTTCGACATCGAGGATATCGGAGCTGTCCATTTCGAAGCTTCCTATTCGCACTCTTCCTCTTCCAATCAAATTTCAGCGTTCTCGTCATTCCTGTTTGTCTGGTCACCTGCTAGACCACCTGAAGTGCATCAAACGAACAGGTCGCTCACACTGGTGGTAACCCCATCCGGCTTCGCGCAACCACCAACCAACCCTTTTCACAGCAGCTTTTCTCTGCTTACTTCTCAACAAGCTTGAGACTCAACCTGTTTCTTCTCCATGATCAATAGAAATATTTATTCGGCCTCATTTTCTGGGACAAATAAGAGTCTCCCAGCGCCGCTGCTGTGCCTCCCATTGCGGTGAAAGTCAAGCCAATAATAACGACGATGAGGAAATTAGATGGGATTCTGGCGTGCGCTGCTCTATTTCTGGGCCTCCACGCGCTGATCGCTTCCGCTCGCGATGTGATCGACTTGACTCCGGATAACTGGGAACTAGACGTGGGTCAGGATTTCTACATCTTCGTAAAGTTTTACACTCCATGGTAGGGCTGTATTCTTCGCCCGTTTAATGTCCTTCTTTCAAAGCAGTATCTTGTTTCTAATTTATCGTGCCGGTGCGACCATAGGCGTATTAGTCGCCTCATGTCGTCCCAAGCTTTCCGGCCCTTTAAAGGTGTGGTTGGCCGTTCTTTTCAATGTAGGTGCGGACACTGCAAGCGACTTGCACCCGAGTGGGAGAGGCTCGCCGCTGCCTTCAGGGCGTCTGTTTACGTTCACATCGCACAGGTAGGTATCCTGCCGTTGCACATCAATACCTCATAATCTCTCCTATCAATGCTCGCTAAGCTTCCGCAAGTACTATCTCTACATAACACAATATTATGCACGGATGCGAACGTGGTTCATGTTCCGGTTCTCGAATGTTCTTCCCCTCCTCTCCAATGTCCACGGCAGGTGGACTGCGACGCACACAAGGAGCTCTGCGTTGACTCAAAAGTCAACTCTCCCATGTTCTCCTCCCTCCTCTCCAATGTCCACGGCAGGTGGACTGCGACGCGCACAAGGAGCTCTGCTCCAAGTTCGGCGTCAGCGGCTATCCCACGCTCAAATGGTTCCCCCGCAACTCTCTCACCCCCGAAACGTAAGATACACGTGCTTCCTCTCCAGCATTTATCCGTTTAATTAGTATAATTCTTGATACACTGGTGTGCATTCGCTCATCTCTCTCCTTTCCCGGCTTCACGCGCAGGTACACAGGCGATCGCGAGGCAGAGAAGCTGCTGGAGTTTGCCAACCAGAAATCAGGTCAGCCATTGAACCAGTTTGTCTTATCTGTCTATAGAAGCCGTCCATGCTAGCATGGCAATACCAGCTGATACCGTTTGTTACGGCATAGCATAATACCAGTTTCAGGGATCAGAAACTCACAGAAGGAGGCGTTTTTCTCGATCTCCAAACAGACTTACTTCCTGGCCCAACCCCAGCAATCCACCTTTCTAAAGACTCATTCAGGCGTGTTTTTCTGCGTTCTCTGCCTGTGTTGATGCAGGAAGCAGAGCGGCGGCACTGCCGGCAGGGAAGCCGTCATTGGTGGTGGAGGTGACGCCTGACAACTTCACAGAGATCGTCAAGGACAAGACCAAGCACGTTCTGCTTGAATTCTACGCCCCATGGTACTTCTCCTTCCTTCCCCCACGATTTCCTCTGTCCTCCCATTCCCCCGCTTCTTTTCCCCCTCCCCATCCCCCTCCCGCCCTTCAACTCTCTTCCTCTTGCACACATGTGCTCACACTCACACATCACAATGTGGTCACACGCTAAAATTCCCAACCCAATCCCTCTCCCCATTTCCCCCTCTCTCTGCGGTCCAGTTCTCTCTTGGTTCGCAACTCTTGTCCGATTCCTCGTGTTGTAACCATCGCTCTCCTCTCCTCCTTCCCCCCTTTCCCTCACTTCTCCTTCGGTGCAGGTGTGGAATGTGCAAATCCCTTGCTCCTGTAAGCCTTCATCATCCCCACCTCCTCGTATTGCAATGATAACTAACCACAGATGCATCGTGTTACCTGTCCTATCCCTACCATTTCTCTGTCCTCTATAAAGAAGCTCACTTTTTAACGCTCCTCAACTTCCATCCTCGTATAGACACTCTGTTCCGCCTTGTTTCACCGATCCACCTGCTTCCTTCACCACTCTGTGACACTGTCCCACCTGCCCCATCACAAAGCCACCATCCTCCTATGCATGCTCCACTCCAGTGGCTTCCTTCCTCAGACCACCATGCCCCTTCCGATTTCCCCCTGCACTGCACTCTCTTTCCGTCTATGCAGGACTACGAGGCACTGGCGGAGACGTTTCAGTACGAGCCAGACATTGTGATCGCCAAGTTTGATGCCGACAAGTACAAGGGCACCGTGGAGAAGTGAGTGCGTGTGGGGGTAGGTAGGTGTGTTTTGAGTCGACTCGAAACGCACATCAAGTCGACTCAAAACGCACCAGGACTACTGAGGCACTGGCAGAGACGTTACATTCCAGTACGAGCCGGACATTGTGATCTCCAAGTTTGATGCCGACAAGTACAAGGGCATCGTGGAGAAGTAAGTGCGAGAGAGCACCCCCCTTCCGGCTCGACTCGACCTGCCCTGCCAAGCTCTTATTCACTCATTGTTCTCCCTGACCCTTTCAGGGTGACAGGGTATACGCACCCGTGCTCTGTGTTGAGCAGCCCGGTTCGCCACACTCCACTTGATTCTTGCACCACTCTTCTACTTCCTCTCATTCACTTACACGGAGTCAATCCACAACAGATTCCTTCACACCCAGTTTCAATGTCAGTCAGACCATGACAACCGTACGCTCATGCCCAACTGTAGCCGCATGACAGTGGTTTTACTTTGTTGTTTCCCTCCTCGGTTTCCCCATCCCTGCCAAGTACACGATTAATGGGTACCCTGAGCTACGGTGGTACCCCAAGGAAGGACGACAAGAAGGGTTCTTCAATAAACTCATAAGGCCATTGCTTGCGGTTCCTATGTTGTATTTTCTCTGTTTGTGTGATTCCATCTCCACCAGGTACAAGATCAATGGGTACCAGGAGCTGCGCTGGTATCCCAAGGACAACAAGCGGGTCGACTTAATCGGCTTATTTACCCCTTGTTTCTGTGTTACCCCTTGTTTCTGTGTTACCCCTTGTTTCTGTGTTACCCCTTGTTTCTGTGTTACCCCTTGTTTCTGTGTTACCCCTTGTTTCTGTGTTACCCCTTGTTTCTGTGTTACCCCTTGTTTCTGTGTTACCCCTTGTTTCTGTGTTACCCCTTGTTTCTGTGTTACCCCTTGTTTCTGTGTTGAGTTATTGTTTCTGTGTTGGGTTATTGTTTCTGTGTTGGGTTATTGTTTCTGTGTTGGGTTATTGTTTCTGTGTTGGGTTATTGGTTCCCATCCCCACCAGGTACAAGATCAAGGGGTACCCTGAGCTGCGCTGGTATCCCAAGAACAACAAGAAGGGCGAGCCGTACAAGACGTCGCGCAACCTGCAGCCTCTGATCGACTTTGTCAATGCCAAGGCCAACACCTTGCGCAAGAAGGGCGGCCTCCTAGATGACGATGTATGTATGCTTGCCGGGTGGGCGCTTTGCCTTTTGAGTCGGCTCAAAAGACGTTCACTTTGTCAACGCCCTGGCCTACACCTTGCGCAAGAAGGGCGGCCTCCTTGATGCACGATGTATGAATGCCCGCTGTGCTGTTTGAAGAACAGAGAGCAAAAAGCTATGCCTCATGTTGAAGAAGCTATGCCTTATCCTGAACAAGTTATGCCTTATCCGCTACTCTCCTCGGTTGCTCTGCATTGCTTGCTGCATGCTTTCAGGTGGGGCGCATCAGGGATCTGGACAAGATAGCAGTGATTTACACCCTGAGGGAGAGAAAAAAAAAAGGAACGAACAACCATGCCTTATCCCCTTCTCTTGTTGGTTGCTCTGTTCCGCCTGCTGCCGGGCCCTTTCCTGCTTGCTGCGTGCATGCAGGTGGGGCGGATCAAGGATCTGGACAAGATAGCAGTGAAGTACGCCCTGTCATCAAAGGAGCAGCGAGTGCAGCTGAGGACGCAGATGAGCAACACCATCGACTTTCTCGACGCCAAGAAGGACCCGTGCGTACCCCGTGTGGGCCCCTGAGTGTCTTGCGTAGACTAAAAACTAAAAACTTGTGACGTTGTACCCAGGTGTGTTGTGAGTCGACTCGAAACACGTCAGAGGGTACAGCTGAGGACGCGAATGAGCAACGCCATCGACTTTCTCGACGCCAAGAAGGACCCGTGCGTGCACCCTGTGCACTTCTGAGTGTTATGTGTTGACTTAAAACGCGTGACATTATGTGATAGGTGTGTTTTGAGTCGACTCAAAGCACAGCAGAGGAAGAAGCAGAAGGGCCCGTGCGTGCCCCTTGTGGCTGTGACCCCTCAAAACGCCTTAACACATGATGTCTCGAAACATGATTGCCCTGTTCTCTGTTTGTGATGTCTCGAAACAAGATTGCCAGTCAGTCCATCTTGTTTGTGCCTCCCTTCCGGCACCTCCCGTCCCACTCCGCCTGCTCCCTTCCTACCTGTCGTCTTCTTCTTGGGGTGTGACGTCTGATTCTGCTCTCACTTGATGCCTCCCACCTGCCTCCCACCTGCCTGCCACCTGCCTGCCACCTGCCTCCCACCTGCCTGCCACCCGCCTGCCACCTGCCTGCCACCTGCCTGCCACCCCGCCCGCGGACAGCTACGCGGAGATATACATGAAGATCATGGATCACATTGACAGCAACGAGAGATACCTGGCAGACGAGTATGCCAGAGTCGAAAGGATGCTCAAAACGGTAAGCCATTCCTCGTTCACTGCAATCGTTGTCCCCCTCACCGCGTTTCTCTTTTTGTTTTGTTTTTGTTTGTGTATTTATTACTTTGGCTGCACATTCTGCTGACCTCCACCAGTAGTGCCTGCGGTTTCCCTCATTGTCCCTCCCTCTCCCTTCCCCACTCCTCTCCTCCCCCCACCCTGCCCACAGCCGCTCTCGCCAGCCAAGATAGACCAATTCACAGTGCGCAAGCACATCTGCACTGCCTAAACATTTTAGAACGGTGTCCTTGTCGCTTCCTCTCCCTTCCTCCCCATCCCCCCCCCTGTGCCCACAGCCGCTCTCCCCGGCCAAGATAGACCAGTTCACAGTGCGCAAGCACATCCGCACTGCCTAAACATTTTAAAACGGTGTCCTTGTCGCTTCCTCTCCCTTCCTCCCCATCCCCCCCCCTGTGCCCACAGCCGCTCTCCCCGGCCAAGATAGACCAGTTCACGGTGCACAAGCACATTCTCACGGCCTTACCATGTACAACGCTGTTCCTCTCTGTCCTTCCCTCTCCCCATCCCCCCCCCCCCCCCCCCCCCCCACACACACCTGCAGCCGCTCTCACCAGCCAAGATAGACCAGTTCACGGTGCGCAAGCACATTCGCACAGCCTCACAATGTGGAACGCCGTTCCTCTTTGTCCCTCCCTCTCCCTCCCCCACACCTGCTCACAGCCGCTCTCCCCGGCCAAGATAGACCAGTTCACAGTGCGCAAGCACATTCTCACGGCCTTCCTCGAGTTTGACGAGGAGGAGGTGGCCATCTCCTGAGCTAGGACAGGGATCAGGGAATGCGGGCACGGAATATGGTGCTCAGAAAAGCAGCATTCAGTGTCGTGCTTGTGCCAAGAGGAGAGGGTGTGGAAGGGGTGGTAGTGCCAACCACAAGAGACCTGCCCTGTTCTTCTGATGGTCGGGTGGTAGGGGAATTCGCCATCAGAAGTCTGGTGATCATAGTTCTGTCGTTATTTAGCCCCCTTGATGCTGCATGGGAAGCAGTGGTTCTGCCATAATGCTGACGTCTACACTGCATGTTGCAGATGGCAGTATGGTAACCTGAAGCTGGTAACCAGTATGGTGCACTTGCTGGATTTTAACGGCAGCCAACCAGCCCTGCACTGCATGAATCTTAAAAAATGAATCAGCTTACACTCAAGATGGCATACATACGCGGTGCATCACATTGAGTCAATCTAACAACTCAAGTGACGGGTTTGGCGAGGTTCTTGTGGCCAGAGCCGATGCAGGAGAGGAAGACGGTGCCGGTGCTCTCATCAGGGCGGATGTCAAACTGCACGCCCAGCATGGCCCTCATGTCCCTCAGTGCATCCACTGTGTGTGGCGTTAGTGGCCCCACCCGCACCCGACACAACTCCTCCGGACACAGCGCACACAGCAGCAGCACAAAGGCCTGTGGGAGGGGAATGAGGGGGAGAGAGGCAGGCGGGAAAGAGGTGATGTGAGGGCTGGCAAGGGTGTCAGAAGTCCCACCCACAGCCAACACAGCGCCTCCGGGTGCAGTCCGTACAGCAGCAGCACAAAGGCCTGCGGAAGAGGGAAAGGGGATGAGGGAAGGGGCGGGACGGGAAGGAATACTGCGAGGGCTGCCAAGGATGTCAGCAGCCCCACTCACACCCGACACAGCTCCTCCTGACGTAGTGCACACAGCAGCAAGAGAACAGCATGTGGGTCGAGGAACAAGGGGAGGTGGGAAGAGGGGCGGAGGGGGGATTGGCATGTGAATGTATGGCAAGATTAGAGGCACATCAGCCATGGGTCAGGCTGATGGCCGGAAAACACTGCCAGCATCCCATCATGAGTCATGCACAATGTTTGCCATGATAGCCCGACCATGAACAGTGCTCCTTGCAACTGTTTGGAATGCCTGACCAAAAGGAGGGGAGCAGAAACCGTGGATGGGATGTTGATGTGGGCCGTGCCGCCATGATGCATGTGCATGCATGCATGTATCCGCATGCCTGAATCGGCAGCAGCAGGCCCGTCCTTGTCTCCACAGACCGCATGCAGCTCCCTTTGCTCTCTGCCAAGTCGCAAACCTCACCTGTTGACTGCCATCCACCACGCCTCCCTGCTTCACTTCATGCAGCAGCAGCTGTGCTGCCTGCAACCCTAGATCCTCCGGCACCTCCTCCCCCTGCCCCCCTGCTCCTCCTCTCTCCCCTCTCCCTGCGCCTCCCCCCACCCCTTCATGTTCCCCCCGGCAGCTGGCAATGGCCCTCTCGGCACTCAGCAGGCAGCCCGACGTTGTTTCGGCTACCAAGGATATGCCAAAGCCAGGCGACCTGAGGCGTTGAGGGGCAAAGGGGACGGATAGGGACGGAGAGTTGAGGTGAGATGAGGTGGGGTTGTCAGAATGATGGAGCGCATGGGATGGTGGGACGGGTGAGTATGGTGGTTGAGAGAGGGTCACCATTTAAACAGCATTGGGGGCAGAACAGAGGTAACGTGCATTTCAAAGTATGTCTTCTCGTCTTCTCAACCTGAATCAGCCTTGTCACCGCAGCACACAAAAAGAAAATAAGAAAAACAGCCAACCAACTAATTTACCTGCCCGAGTCTGCTCCGGAGAAGTGGTCAGTGAAGATGAAGACATCAGGCAGCAGGCGGTTGAGCACCCCTCTAGCCTTCCCTTCCCCCCCTCCCCAAAAGAAAGACAGATAGAGAGAGAGAGACAACCAACCTGCCAGAGTCTGCTCCGGAGAAGTGGTCAGTGAAGATGAAGACATCAGGCAGCAGGCGGTTGAGCACCCCTCTAGCCGCGTCCACCATGCGATTCGCCACCTGCGGTGCCACCCGCGCTGTGAACGCCACCCCCCTCACCCTCTTCACCAGCCCCTCGTCCTCCCACACCACTGGCTGCCACGTTGGGGAAAACGGGGGAACGGCAGAGAGGGGGAATAGAGAGAGAAACGTGTTGAATAATCCACTCTCAACCCTCCCCATAGATTACCCACTTCAGATATCGCCCTCCCCATGCACCCCTCCCTCCCCTTGTCCCCCGCCCCTAGCCCCTTCCACCGCACCTCCAGCTGCTTCACGATTGGCAGGCGCAGCATCACCTCCCCCCCGCCCAGGGGAGGCGCGCCGCGGCGAACGAGCTTGAGCTCCACGTCCGCCATGTCCACGCCGAACCGCTTCAGGATGGGCAGCGTCGCCGTGCGCAGGGTGTCTATGCTCGGATCGCGGTCGTCGTTCGTCACCCCTGCGGGTGGGCGCGGGTGGGCGCGTGTGTGGGCGGGAAGGTATGGTTAGGGGTTGGGGGAGGGGGAGCATAGACCCGGTGAGGAAGTTGTCTATGCTCGGGCCGCGGAAAGCGCTGGCTGGGACGAGAGACCCAGATTGAATTAGCTGCATGACAGGCACCGCATTGCACCGCCCCAATCCACAGTGAGCCAGTGGGAATATCCACAGGGGCTCAGGCATGGTGCCGGTGTCTTACCTTTTAGTGTGATGTGGAGGGGTTTTTTCCCAAATAGCCCGAGCACGAAGAGGGGTTGCAGGAAGTAGCCTATGGCGCGCGACGTGCCGCAGTCATGCGTCAGGTTCCGCCCGCCGGACAGCACGCCGGGGCGATATCTCAATTTTGTTCCTGTAACGAGCAGGGGACGCAACACGCGAGGTTGGGGGGAACACGTGTGGGTGGTATCTCAACATTGTTCCTGTAACGAGCGGAAGTCACAACACCCAGTTGCCACACGACGTTTCGGGGATCCAGCGCAGGAGATAGTACATTACGCGACCTGCTGGGAGTGCGAGTCGGGGTTCTACGGGGAAAGCAAAAAGACGCGCGAGCCGCGGGGAAATCCGTGTAAGTCCGAAAAAATATCCTCCAGCCACTAAAACCTTGACGGCAAACCCTAGACCCTGAAACCAGAGCCTCATACGCCGCGAGCTGACCTGTTTCGTTGATCTCCACGACGCAGCCGTTGGAGATCTTTTCGAGCAGTCTCAGCAGCGACGCCTCGTACTCCGTTAAGCCGGGGCTCTCTGCCTCTGCGCGGATGTCGTCTATTCTAATAGCGCGTCCTGATAATGTCGCGTACACCAGACGCTGCCGGAGATTACGCGACCCTCTAAGACGTATCACCATTTCGTCGCAGTGACTGGGCGACTTCGCAAAAGGTGGGTTTGGCGGCTTTGCGTCGGGGTGGTTTGCCAAAGCGTGTGAACGAAATTTAGTCGACTAGGCACGATGTTATTTAGTCTGCAACTACAATGTGGCAGTTTGAAGGGACCAGTTAATACGCGTCAAAGAGGATCACATAAAAATGAAGTACATGGTGACCTTTCTGGTTTGGCTGCAAGAAGCTACACGTTTCGCAAATTGGTACACTCATAATTACGCAAATTTGAAATCGCAACTCATTAGGCATTATAACGCGGATGACTGGTAGCTGGAATTTGAATTCCCAAATTTTGCACCCCCTCCTCTCCCGAAGGTCATCGCGTCTCTCGAGGGCCCATTTTTCGCCGCCTCACTTTGCTTGCTATTTGCCGCTGCTTTACCCCCTTGGGTTCTCCTTTCTTTTCACTTCTCCCTCCCAAGCCTGTTTTCCCTGGGCAATCTCGATGGTGCTGCTCGTTTACTCCCAAGTTCCAACCTTCCACTCGTTTCCCGCGCTTTTCTCGATCTCTTCGACTGGCTCTCCCCCTGCCTGTTAGTGCTGTAACGCGCGTAGTGCAGTTCAAGCTGACGTTCAGCTCGCCTCGACGGACATTCAACCACCCTGCCACCCTTGATTCTACCGTACCTCCCGCGTAGTGTAGGTCGTTGTCAGCCGTTGTCTCTCAATCTGGACTTAGCACATCAGATCACCGGGTGGTTACCACTAGACATTACGTGCTGTGCGAGCGTTCACATCTTGTCGCTCCAATTCAGTTTCGCTTCTTTAGGCTTGACACCAGGGCATGGGCGTTAGGAGAGCGAGCGTCCACGTGGTTTGATTCGCTGACCGCCGTCCCTTTCCTGATGACATGAGCAACTATTATGATTTAGACGACATACTGGCCGAGGATGAGGTGGGTTAGCCGTCATGCACGCTATTTTACGTCAAAAGCTGTGTTTTTCTTCTCTTAGTACGTTTCGCTTATAATAAATAGTGTATGGCCTCCTCATCGTCGTGTCGGCCCGCGCTTTTCGCAGAAGCTTCCCGTTACGTTTCGGACCGGAGCGACGGGAGTGGGACGAGCGCTAGACCCCAGCACAGACGCCGATGACGTAAGCGTATACTCCTATAACATCAGCATACAATACTAACGACATATGCGAAGCTTCTGGGGACGCATGCCTTTGAGTCGCGCACCACTCTCTTGCCACTGTTGTTGGCGAAAGTGTTTTCTAGGCTCAATTCGCCTGAACCTTTGTTGCCCTGCTCACGCACTCTCCTCCTCCTTTGCTTTCCTGCCGTGTGACCTCGTATGCTGCCACGTGTCGTCCATGCGTGTTCCGCCAGCTGGCAGTGGGCGCCAAGGTGGACTTGCCGGTTTGGATGGTGCCGGCTCTAGCGAAGCGAAACATGGTGTCGGCCCTGGAGCCCAGAATGTTCGGCGAGAGGTGAGCATGAAGCACCCAACGGTAGAGCTTTCTTCAGTGGCCGAGGTAAAGCAGCAGCAAGTGAGGATGAAGTAGTCAGCAGTAGCCTTTGTTTCATAAGGATGAAGCAGCCAGCATCAGAGCCTGTGTGTCAGAACAAGGTGAGGCAGTAGCAGACTCAACAACCGTTGTTCCAGTTGTAAGTGAGGCAGCAGCAAGCTATGTGAACCTATGTCTAGTCCACAGCAGGGAGGGCAGCAAACGTTGTGAGCCTGCAGGCGGGAGTGCGGAGCATGTCGGCCTGGGTCCGAGTCGTGGGAGTGGCATGGCACAGCCAACAAGAGGGCACGTGTGTTTTCCATCCTTGAGATTGTTCCAACTACTCCTTCCAAAATTCTGTTTTCCAGAATAACTACCGAATTTTCTCAACCAGATGCAGTCAGCAATTCATGGCCTCTCTTCTTATGATATTCTTCCTGGTTGTGTCACCTCCTGGTTTCCAACAGGATTCGAAAGGAGGTGCAAGCAGACGCTGCGTGTGTCAATCTCCGTGCCTGCTCGCCCTATTACTACTCATTGGGCACCAAGATTGCTCCGTGGTACATTATCCCTTTCTGCATGAATCCTGGCCACCTGATTGTTGCCCGCATCTCTCGTGGTCACTCCATGAGCACTTCGTCAATAGCTCTTCCTTCACATTAGCTCCAGTCTCACTCTTTAGTGAAAGCCTCCGGGCACTTGTTGATTATATGCTTGACATCAGATTGTTCTTCCCAGCTCACATTCGTTTTCACCCCAACAAACCACTTCCCTGGCCCTGCTGTGAATCCCGCTCTCCCTGCCTGTCAGGGTGCGAGACAAGACACTCACGCGCTTCCTGTTCACCACCTTTGTGGAGCGCTACGCGGACCTGCTCACACGTGCCTTTGTGCTCCCGGAGAAAGAGGTGCCTCGCGTGCGCCGCCTGCTGCCCAAGGAAGAGCAGCAATGTGCGTGTGCGGTACCGGGAAAGGAAATGATCTGGGGAAAGGGGGTGAACATGGTTAAGGGGATACAGGAGCAATGGACGCAGGGAGTCCACTGGGCTAGTTTTGTGTTTGTCTGATCCAAATGCAGACTGGGTTGTTGGAAGGATGTCAAATTTCTGTGTGTCTTGCCTTCTTTCCTGGGTGTTTGCAGTGCTGTCTGCAGGGTATGCAGCCATGCGCAGGTACACAGCGTGGCAGGAGCAGAGCTGTAACCGTCTGCTGGTCTCTCCCATTCTCGGGCGCAGCCTCTCTCGCAAGCGTGCCAGGCTGCCATTTGCTGATGTGAGCAACAACAATGGCAACACAACTAGTGCCAGCACTGATGGTGGAGAACGAGGGAAGAGTGGAGGAGGATGGGGAGGTGGAAGCACATCAAGGAGTGGCTGGGGTGCTGGTTCTGTTGGAGACGGGTATGACGGGAGACCCGGTGGGAACCAGAGACAACGGAGGTGATGACAGGGGATCAAATACTTGAGTATGAGATGGGATTGATATGTTCTTGTTTTGTTTGGTTTTGTTATTGCTATTGTAGTTAATGTTTAATATCGTCACATCCTAGGTCTCTTGTTACTGTACAGCTCATGTATATCACCTGTTGAGTCAGAGCAATAGCCTGAAGCGGAGTCGTAAGCTTGAAGCCAATCCAATCCAAGCACGGCCGCCTGCCTCCCCCCTCCCCGCTCTCGACTCTGACTCGCCCTCCACCTTGCCTCCCATTCCATTTCCAGCCTTGGGAATGCCTCCATCTGCCCAACTGTGGAATTCACACGCACACACACAGAGCCAGCCAGTCCGCCCCTCACACCGCCATTCCCATCCATCCGCTTGGCTGGACTTGTGTTGACACCATTTTCGAAGATCATGAATCTTGTAGTGTTTCTGCCTTCGCGTCCCTGTCCTGCCCTGTCTAGTATCCAGTAGGTTCTTCTGACCCCAAAGGTCCTGTTTCACTCAGTTTGTCCATCCCTCCTTTCTGAGTGCGAGACGTGGATCATCTAGCCCAGCTTGAACCACCCATTAGCTCATGTGACTAACTCATGTAGTTCAGCTAATGGAATCACTATCTTCTAGAACGGTATAACTTAGGCGTCCACTCCGCATCCCCCCACCCCAAGAGGACGTTTCGAAAATCTTTCGTGACATCGACTGATCAACTGACTGATGCTTGCGCGTTTTACTCAGTAGCATGTTCGGTGTCGTCAAGCAGTCCTCGTTTCAGTGCACGCATAACGAGGCTCAGGCGGGTTTGGCATTATTCAATAGCAGTAACTTCAAGTTCCAGGTTCAGGACGCCATTCATGCGCGTCGTAAGCTAGAAATCCTGTGCGGCTTAGACATTGTCCATGTTGTGCGGCTCGAGCCCTGCTGAGGCCACTTGAGCACAGACCGCTGCCAAGCAAATTCTTGATAGCTGGTGCTTGCTTGTCGAAATACTGTCGCGCATCGTACTCCAACCAGTTTGCGACAAAACGATGACGGTCTTCAGCGGAATCGCAAGCTCTCGCAGAAGCACCCCTGCGACGCTCGCACAAACGCCTGTACTCGTCAGCATGCGAATAACCATCCGATACCCTTATTACTATCGCCACGCCCACAGGCACCACAATCATCACCACAACCTCTGCTATCTCCTCCTCCTCTCATTATTACTCATCCACGCTCTCTATTCCGCGCCTCCCGCCGCATTTGCCGCGACTCTCACCTCGGATATCGCGGCGCTACAGGGCTTCCTGCAGGAGCCGACCAATCAGGCGAAGCTGAGCGACTGGAAGTCCGGAACGGACCCGTGCGCCACTGGCTGGTTCGGTGTGAAGTGCGCCGCAGCCGTTGGATCAAGCCCTACAACAGCCGTTGGATCAGGCCCTGGGAGAAGCAGTGGTAACAGCAACGGCAGCAACACCATCAACGGAAATAAAAATGGACAGGCCACCACGGGGAAGTTTCAATATGTAGTGAGATTAGACCTGACCGGGGTTGGGTTAACTGGTTCATTACCCACAACGTTAGGATCACTGTATCAGCCGACTGCTATTGTGCTCAGCCGCAACAGCTTCTCAGACTCGTCCATTCCGAGCCAGCTCAGTCAGTTAACGAGCCTACAGGCGCTTCTGCTCACCAACTGCCAGCTGGCTGGGTCCATACCTGACAGCCTCGGCAGCATGACGAGCCTGACGTACCTCAGCCTCGGGCAGAACCTGCTGGAAGGTCCCGTACCTCCGTTCCTCTTCACTTCTCTGAAGTCCCTGGCGTTCCTCAACCTGAATAACAATAACCTAGGCGGGGAGATTCCCCCAGAGGTCGCCTTAGCGCCTCAGCTGCTGAACCTATCTCTTCACGTGAACAATCTGACTGGTAGAATTCCAAGCACGTTGGGCAGCGGAGGTGGAGGGTTGCAGCTGAGACAGTTGCAGTTGCACCAGAATCGACTCACAGGGACGATACCCGGGTCTGTTGGGAACCTGCTGGCTCTTGAAACGTTCACAGTGTACAGAAACGCGCTGCTGGGTCCTCTCCCGATTTTCATGGGTAAATTTCCCTCCAGCTCGTACCGGGAGAATGGATTTTGCAGCAGCCAGCCAGGGGGGAGCTGCCCTGCTGATGTGATTGCCCTACTCGGGTTTCTACAAGGGGTTAATTACCCTTTGACTCTGTCGACTTCTTGGGTAGGAGCTCTTCCATGTGGGTCTCCTAACTGGCTCGGCGTTTCCTGCTCTCCTGGGGGGCAAGCCTCAGTCGTAGGCCTGGTGCTGCCGAACCTGGACCTGACAGGCTCGGTGGCGTCATCATTGGCAAACCTGACGTCATTAGCAGCCATAGTTCTCAAGAACAACAACCTAAGCGGCTCCATTCCGGATTCCCTCACGTCTTTAAGCAAGCTAACCCTGCTTGACGTCAGCAACAACCGCCTGTCCGGCCCCTTTCCTGCATTCTCCTCCCAAGTCGAGCTGGTTACCACCGGTAACAGTTTTGGACCGGCGCCAACACCAGCTCCCTCCTCCGCTCCTTCCCCACCATCCGCCCCTTCCCCTGCCCCTCCTTCCTCCTCCCCACCCTCTTCTCCCTCCCCTGGCCCATCCTTCCCACCAGCACCAACCTCCTCCCCCTCCCCAGCACCACCCTCGTCCCCATCCCCTGCACCATCCTCCTCCCCCGCTCATCCATCTAGCCCGACACCCCCGTCCGAATCCCCCCCATCCTCCCCTTCCCCTGGAGTCCCGCCCCCCCCTTCCGCCCCCTCCCCATCCGCAACAGAGGCGCCTGGGGGGACCGGTAGTGGGACGGGCGCAGGGGCAAGAGTGGTGGCAGGGGTGGTGGTGGCGGCAGCAGTGGTGGCGCTGGTGGCGGGGCTGGCTGTGGGGTGGTGGTGCTGCGTCCGGCCAGGCAAGGGAAAGAAGCCTCCCCAAACGCACCCCCACCCTGCCACCTCCTCTGTGGACCCTTCAGCAGCACCTGGACTCCCAGCAGCCGGTGCAGGAGGAGCAGCAGGAGCAGTAGGAGAAGGACGAGGAGGAGCAGCAGCAGGAGCAGGTGGAGCAGGGGAGGGGGCAGGAGCATTGATAGCGAGTGCGAGGTTGGCACTGGGAGGCGGGCTGACTGTGAGCATAGAGGTGATTCGCGAGGCAACAGCAGGGTTCTCCCCGAGCCACGTGGTGGGGAGGGGCGGGTTTGGCACGGTGTACCGTGGGGACATGCCTGATGGGAGCACAGTGGCGGTCAAGAGAATGGAGGCTGGACCCATCAGTGAAGCTGGCACTCGAGATTTCCTGGTGAGTAGGGTGATCAGGGTGAGGGGTGGGTTTGGCAAAGTGTAAATTGGGGATATCCCTGATGGGATCACGGTGGCAGTGAAGAGAATGAAGGCTGGACCCGTCAGTGAAGCTGGCACTCGAGATTTCTTGGTGAGTAGGGTAGAGCGGGGGAGGGAGGATGGCACAGCTTTGGCACAGTGTACCGCGGAGACATGCCTGATGGGAGCACAGTGGCGGTCAAGAGGATGGAGGCTGGACCCGTCACTGAAGCAGGCACTCGAGATTTCTTGGTGAGTGAGTACTCATACATTTTTTATATGACACAGCCCACACCACAGGACACCTGGTATTTTCCTTCCAAGCGTCTTTTTCCTCCCGTTTCCCATCCCGTGTGTCTGAGGTGGCCGTGCTGTAAAAGAGTGGCTGTGCCATTGACTTGACTCGGCCCAATAAGTTCCCTCTCCTGCTCCTCTCTGCACTTGCACCCTCCCATCCCCATTCGTGCCCCTCCCATCCCCATCCGTGCCCCTCCCATCCCCATCCGTGCCCCTCCCATCCCCATCCGTGCCCCCTCCCATCTCCATCCGTGCTGCTCCCACCCCTCTCCCTGCACCCTGCCACCCCCTCAGGCGGAGGTGGCAGTGCTGTGCAAGGTGCGCCATCGCAACCTGGTGGCGCTGCTGGGGCATGTCATGGACCACCACGAGCGCCTGCTAATGTTTGAGTTCATGGAGCTGGTGAGTCGTTTGTTGTTGTGTGTGCATTTATGGTTAATGGCTCAGGTGGGAGCAAGGCACTGGCACTGCTGGGGCATGTCATGGACCACCACGAGCGCCTGCTCGTGTTTGAGTTCATGGAGCTGGTGAGTCGATAGTGTTTGGCTGGGGATGCGTGCACCTGGTGAGGTTGAAGGCTGTGGAGTTGCTGGGGCATGTCTTGGACCACCACCACGAGCGTCTGCTCGTGTTTGAATTCATGCAACTGGTGAGTCGATATTGTTTGGTTCGGGATGCATGCACCTGGTGAGGCTGAAGGCTGTGCTGGGGAGGAAGGGACTGGCGCTATTGGCGACGTCATGGACCACCACAAGTGCTGACGTTTGAGTTCATGGCACTGGTGAGTCGTTGTGGCTCGCTTCTGTCATTGCACAATCTGTGCCTGTTCAATTGATCCACACGCCTCCACAAAACCCCCCTCCCTCCACTCCACCCACCCGTCCACCCCATCCTCCTGCACATCAGGGCCCGCTGAGTCAGCACCTCTTTGACCCCACCCGCCACGGCCACCGCCCGCTGACGTGGACGGAGCGGCTGGTGGTGGCGTTGGACGTGGCGAGGGGCGTGGAGTATCTGCACAGCCTGGCGGGCGGCAGAGACTCCATCGTGCACCGCGACTTGAAGCCCGCCAACGTGCTTCTGGACGGCCGGCGCCGCGCCAAGGTGGCCGATTTTGGCCTGGCGAAGCTATTGCTGCGACCGATGCTGCCGCCCGATGGAGGATCGGGGAGGGAAGGGGGGTGTGGCAGAGGGATGGATTCGGAGATTGCTCCGTCGGTTGAGACGCGACTGGCTGGCACGTTTGGGTATCTGGCGCCTGAATACGCAGGTGCGGCTGGGATGGGTGGGTGGGGAAGAGGGTCAAGTGAGATGGGCAGAGTGGATGTGTGTGGGTCAGGCGGCAAGGTAGATTGGGCTTGTGACTGAGAGAAGGGGGGGCAGCGAGAGGAGGTGCTTCTTGTCACATCATCCTACTCCATCCCGCACTTTTCTTAATCCCACCCCATCCCTATCTCATCTCATCCCATTCAACAGCTCTCCCCCATTTGCTCTCTCGCTATTCTCACCCCATCTGCCTGCAGCCATGGGTCGAGTGACAACACGCTCGGACGTGTACAGCTTTGGCGTTATCCTCATGGAACTGTTCACCGGGCGGCGAGCTGTGGACACATCCCGGCCCGATCTCTCAGCACACCTGGCCACGTTCCTGCTGCCCATCATTCCCGATCGCTCCAAGCTTGCACAGGTGGGTGGTGAAAGAAATCTGGGGAAAGAGGGGACTGGGGGGATGGTAAAATGGGACAGGAGCCAGAGGAGGTAGGAAGTGGAGCGGGAGGGATTGCGTGAGGAAAATGGGAGATTGTTCTTGTCGTCGACGTAGGCAACAGGGTTTGATCAACCGGTCCTACAGGACACCATACGTATTGAAATCTTCAACTGCCAATTGTCTGACCTGCATCTCTACTTTCTCCGCCCTTCCTTCCAGGTGGTGGACCCTGCCATAGCAGCAGGCATGGTGGATATCAGCAGTCAGGCGTTTGCCTCGCTGTGCACCGTGGCAGATTTGGCGCTGCACTGTGTGGCTGCTGACCCGCGCCAGCGACCCTCGATGACAGACGTGGTCACCGTGCTCGCTCCACTCGTCAGAACCTGGGCCCCTTCGGTACGTTGTGTTCTTGCGCATCCCTGCATCCCTCACCCTGCCCCATTCCTCACCCCGCTCCCATTCCTCCTTCCGCCCACCCTGTTTGTCATGTTCTAACAAGCTGACATGGCTCTGTGTGGCTGGTCCCTTCTTCTGATGCAGGAGGCCGTTCATGCGGTGCAGCAGGGGGAGAGTGACACAATGGGGATGACCCTGGATGTGGCAGTGCAGTACTGGAAGAGCCTTGATGAGCAGGGATCATCAGGCAGCTATGGTTACACATACGGAAGGAGCCAGGATCACAAGCACAGTCGGGGTCTTGCAGACAGTAGCAGCTCCGAGTTTCATGAGAAGGTTGGGGTGTATGGCAGCAGCAGTGATGAAGCATGTGGCACCCACAGCAACTTCTCGCCAGTCTTTCAATCAAATGAGTACAGTGCTTCCAGGTATCCTGACAACAACGAGTCTGGTGTTGACGTGGAATCGCCTGTGGCATCTGTCACTTGTGGCGGCTTGTTCTCGTCTGGAGGTCGCGACCAGCAACCAAGGGTGGAGCAAGAGGAGCATATGCTGCTGCTGTCGTCACGTGCTGGGGGGAAAGTGAAAGGAGAGTTAGCGTCAAGAACAGTTGAAGAGGAAGCTGCACACGGCAAAGCCACTGAGCTTCCTAACAGGTCGGGGAGTAACAGTTTTCCAACATTTGCTGATCCATCAAGAAGTCTGGTTGGTAGGTAGTGCCAAGATTGTTGTGTGTGGAACGGGGTTGCTGAAATGATTAAGTATGGTCAGATTACATTCGTTAATTGATGAATATACACGTGCAAGGTTAGACTCTGGTAGGTTTCTGCGTGAAATTGGGGAAGCGTATCTGCTTTCAAACTTCAATGGCCATCTTGCCCGAAGCATCGTGTCTCTGCAATAGCTTGTAAAACTCTACGACCTTCACGTTCACCTGCAAAGAATATCAGAAAGTCAGCCCAATATGTACAACTGTTGTACAAGGTAGATTGAATACAGAAAGTAGACATACCTTGACTTTGCCAGCATCAAAGCCCAGAAGTCGAAGACCTTCAAGAGACCGGACCCGAGAGAGAGCGACATAAACCATTCCATAGTCGAACGCCCTCTTAAGGTCAGTTTCCACCCTGTCCAGGGTCATTCCCTGGCACTTATGCACACTGAGGGCCCATGCCAGAGTCAATGGAACTTGCCAGCGCTTGGCAATCTCAGCACCATATTCCTCAACAGCCCAACTTTCAGGACCAATGATTCGCTCAGACTGGTCACATGCAAAGCGAACCACAGGCCACATCCCCGAGGGGTTGATGACGGGAGCCAGATGCCTAAACTGTGCAGCAGACGGGAGAGCAGGGTCGCAAAAGCCAACCACAACACCTCTGGCACCATTAACAAGGCCTTGGGGAGTGTCTAGATTCTGCATGGTTTGAGAGCACACATGTCATCACAGAATGCATGTCTGAATGGAGACAAGTAGACAAACTTGACAGTGTTGGTACCTTGATAAGCATGACTTGTGCACCACGACGCAGTGTCAGACGCTTTTCAGCTCGCGTGAATTCAAGCTGCTTCTTGGCATATTCGCTTTTCCCCTCATCCTTGGCGATGTACATCATTTCCAGCTCTTGGAGCTCCCGGAGCCGCTGAAAGTTTTCTCCTGCTACATCTGCCTGAAACGGGATGCAGTGTCAGATGGTTGGCAATGGATGAAAACAAGACATCCAACAAGCAGGCACACTCACTTGACAATATGGCATTATGCTCACCTTGTACGGGTATAGCTTTGTCAGCATGATGCCATCGTTTCCGATTGGAGCACAGTGAATACGCTTCCTCAGTCTCTCCTGAGTTGCAGGTGTGACAATGCCTTCCCTAATTTCGTTCAACATGCTCACAAACGAGAGGTCTGACTGCCTGAACACATGCTTCAACTCCATCTGCAGATTGAAGCAATCATTCCAGCACTTCGCCCCGAAAGCGTAAGTGCGATGAATTCAAGGTTATCCTGAGTGCCCGCATCAGAGAGGGGATAATAAGTGCGAGTAATATGGACAAAGGACACGAGTTGTCAACGTTGCAAAGGTAAACTCACAAAAAACTGGGCATCGATCATGCTGATTTCGTCAATGACCAGTGCTCGTGCACCTTGCCACCTCTGCCTTGCTTCTCTCCGAGTCTGGACCTTATGCAGCAAGTCTTCTTTAGAACCGTTTCCTAGACCAACTCCAGCAAACGAATGGAGCGTCGTTCCTGAAAGAGCACAGGCAGCAAGGCCTGTCGATGCCGTCACATAAACGGCATCGCTCCCATGCATAGCCCTGAAAGTGTAAAATAACAGTTTTAGTCGTCTACGGAGGGGAGAACGTGGATCTTTTTTATAACGGTATCCCTACCTCAGTGAGCGGATAGCGAACTCGAGCACAAAGCTCTTACCAGTCCCTGCACATCCTGTCACAAAGACAGACTTGCGCATAGAGACGGCAGACAGTGCCTTCATTTGCTCTCCAGAGAGCTTAACGTCTGAACGCTTTTTCGGGTCTTGCTGCTTAGGCTCGTTGACTTGGTCGGACTGAGTAACAGCAGGGGTGTATGGTCGAGGAAGATTCTCCGGCGGAATGACATTTTCGATTCTCCTCTTTTTAAACGGCGTGTCGGCATTAACGGAAGCTCGCAAATTGGCAGCTACTGCAGGCACGCGCTCGAGCGCATTTCGTCTAATGGCTGCTTCTCGCCTCTTAATTGCTTCCAGCCTATTTCTCTCAATCCTTTCCAGCTGATCTGGTGACAGCTGACTTAACCGAGGGCAATCCTGGCTTGACATGGTGCTCTCGACGTCTGGTGTCATAGTCATCACACTGGTGAGAGCACTGGTGGAAGCGCACACACCGAAACTAAGAAACCAGAACAGAAGCTGAGAATGCTTGAAAGGTGAGTGGTACTGCTAGGGACTGATGGAGTTTGAATTGAAAGGGGTGGAGGCTGGGTGGCCGGAAAGCGAAACACCAACGTGACGCTTCTGCAGGAAGGCGGGAACTTCTTGAGGGATGCTGTCCCTCGAGCGCGAAATATTGTTCACCGAACAGTGTCAATGGCGTATCAATATTGCATTACAAAAAGGTCCAGACTGACCTATCAGCCCCAGGTTGCACTCGCCATTGCTGCAAGCTAATGCTGGGCTGTTGGTCAGATTCTGGTCACGTAGCTGCATCTAGTCTAAGACATCACCGTACAATTAGCCATGTAACAGGCCCTGATTCTACCAGTTCTGCATCCAGGCCAGGCTAAACGTGTTGTCAATGCTCCAGCTTGGTATGATGATTATAAACCTTGCTCCAGGTCCACTAACCATCCTCCGCAACATCAACCATCACCGAGCTTCCTCAAGGAGCTTCTCATCAGCGAATCTCCGCTTCTTGCTCCTGCACTGAAACTCAGTCCACCAACCACCGGGCAACCTGTTTGTGTCTGTGGCTGCTACATGTCTACTCCTTGGGCCCACGAGAGGTGCCTCCTAGACGACCCCCAGCAAACATGTCACGGCCCTGTGTAGGGAATAACATCGATGAAAATTGGCCATAAGCACCAAAAGGCAGGGAGAAGAAAAAACAAAACATTTGTGAGCTGCTCCTATCAAGTTTGAAAGGAGGACAAACATACGGAAAGGGGGAGGAAAGTAAAGGATACAGGGAGAAACTCCAACCTATCCAAGAAGGCAAGATAATCAGCATGGAAAGAGGGATACATACCCGTGCCCCTGAACGGATGCCAGACAGAGCATTTGAAATGCCGAGCCCTCCTGACCGTTTCCCTTCCACCTGCTCAGCTGCCCCTCCTGCCCTCGTCCCTGGGACCCCCATGCCCACCCCACCCCCAGATGCTGCAGCCGCTGCTCTCCTGGCAGCGGAGCCACTGCCTGTGCGCGTGTAGCCACCCTGATGCATCTGACGGTCAGCATCAACTCCCTGCCCAGTGGCAGCATTGCACAGTAAGGAATAAAAAGTATCAGATGGTGACAGGATCAGGGAACACATGAGGCATGATTCAGCTGATTGAAATACGAAGCAACAAAGGCAAACCGCCGCCACAGTACAGAGAGTAGGGTAAAGGGTGAGGAGAAAGTAGTAGCAAGAGGAAGAGTCAGCCAACGGCAGGAGATGATTGGCGGGCCTCACATCATCATCACGCAGTGGGCTCCTGTGCCTTGGGCTCTCGATCAGCGGTGATCGACGCCTCGCCATGTCATCTGACGAAAATGAGTGAGGCATTGCAAACGAGTGGAGAAGAGCTCATGTGGTGAGAAGGAGATGGGACCAGTCCATGGTGGCGTGCGTGAAAGAATGCACACCTGGTTATAGGAAACACAGTCTACATGCTTCTATATGCTCATCCCTTACCCGTACCGGCGTTGGCTGCTTGGTTTGCAGCCGCAGGAGCAGGAGCCACTGCTGCGTTTGCCTGGAACCACCCAGCAAAAAGACACAAAGGAGACGTCAGTGGGAGACAAGGGAAAGGCGCAATCCTCACAACACTAGAAGCTTCTCGGCTGCGATGCCTCATGACATACATCCTGACAGGGGAAGGCGGGAACCATGGAGACGTACAAGGAGGCGCTGGGGAGCCACGGATGCTTGGGATTGCTGATACTTGAGAATGGTCCAATCAAAGACATAGTCAAACTGGAATCCTGTCAGTCACACACACCAGAACAATATAAGACTTTCGGCAGATGGATTGTCCATGAAAGTGAGCAACGCAACAAGGATGAATGAAACACAGCAAAAGCGCAGGCGGGAACGCTGGAAAAGAGGTACCTTCTCGAATGAACAGGTCACGGAAGAGACGCTTGAGGTAGGCATAATCTGGCTTGTCGTCAAAGCGAAGCGAGCGGCAGTAGTGGAAGTATGAGGCGAGTTCGGTGGGGTAGCCCTTACAAAGAACCTGATAAATAGGGGTAACAAGAGAAAATAACAAGGAAGCGGCATGAGCAGATGCACTCGGCACTGCACGCAATTAACTTCTCAACAGCCTCTGACTACAGAAACGGATGTTTCAAAGGAGAGTACCTCAATGGGAGTGGACATCTTCTTCTCGCTGATCTTCTCATACTTCTGCTTCTTTGTCCCAGCTTTCAGCCCCTGCCATGGAAGGCTGACCAGAAATGCAAGGAGGGATGGCAGAGGAAAAAAATGGTCTGGTCAACCAGAACAAAAAATACTTCCATTTCCCTACTTGCTGCAGAATTGACCAATTCACCAAATCAGCTGCCTCATAATCCCGTGCAACATACCTTCCTCGCAAAAAATACATGAGGACATAGCCAAGCGACTCCAAATCGTCCCTTCGGCTTTGCTCTGAAATGGGAAAGGTTGAGAAAGACGACAAGTAGAATCAGTCTCACGATTATCAGGGCGGACATAGGCGATGTGGGCGACGGGCCTCACAAGAGCAACGTGTGACATACCAATGCCAAGATGTGTGTTGATGCTGGCATAACGAGCTGTTCCTGTCAGGTTCTTGTTCTCTCTGCCCGCACAATCAACACACGGGAAATGCATCTGTCAGCGCTAAACATGTTCAAAAGACACCTGGCAGGGACCTACAAAAAAAAAACTTCACATTGACAAAACTACCAGATTATGAAGGCAACGCAACCAGCACGAACCTGTAGGGAATATGCTGATGAGTGGTGGGATCGCGATATTTCTTGGCCAGACCGAAATCAATTACGTAAGCCTGGTTCGCCCGTCGTCCGAGGCCCATGAGGAAATTATCAGGCTTGATGTCTCGATGCAGGAAGCTCTTCGAATGGACATACTCCACGCGATTGAGCTGCCAGGGGGGAACAGCATAGGCCGAAGACGTCAGTTGACAAAGCATGTCTTCTTACTCGCGTCACTATTACTCGGCTCCTGTTAGCCGCGGCTGCTACTTTGCTAAGCTTAAATAACCTCTTACGTCTGTGACGGCTAATTATGACGTTCCACCGTTAAATCCATCCCTTCTGGTCACATCAATCACCTCGTATACGCGACCGTCGCGGATGTAAGAAGAGCTAGCAAGCTTCGCAACGGAGGTAGGTAATCGAACCGGTGGTGTACGTATAACCCCCCCCCCATGAAGCCGGAAAACGACGTCTAACTGTATCTTTACAAGCATCAAAAAGCCGATGGCTGTCCAACCGCCGTAAACAAGAATGAACTAAAAAAAGGGAAGGGAAGGGGTGTGTGCGCAGAGGCGGAATGGGGGATAAGGAGGGGGAGAGAGACCGAGGGTCTACACAACCGTCTGCGAACCCACCAGCTGGTCTGCAAGCATGAGCACGGTCTTAAGCGAGAACTTCCTCGCGCAAAAGTTGAAAAGGTCCTCCAGACTGGGTCCGAGCAGGTCAATGACCATCACATTGTAGTCGCCTTCCACGCCGAACCACCTAATGTTCGGAATACCGGCTGGGAGTATTCAACATGCGATGATATATGAGGGATGCGGTAAGACTCTCTCAAGCAAACGCGACGCAACAGGAGCATGAGAACTTCGCAGCAAGCTCGATGCAACGGGAGCAACGATCAAAACGTTCAATTAGACTCTGACAAAAGCTGATAACTAAAGAAGCTGTAGTTCTACTTACTTCCACCCTGCAGAATCCTGTACAGCTTCGACTCATAGAGCAGCTGAGGGTGCTTGGTCTTAGTAGATTCCTGCATGTCAATGATCGGGCAGTATATTGTCAAGTCTGCTACTACAAGGAATGGATGACAAGACACGTGATGAGGTCGCATACCAGCTTAATACCGACTTCCTCGTTTGTCTGGATGTTCGTGCCTGTAAATCACGGGACGACGAACGTAAGTCGTTATAAGAATAAACTCTTAAAACTCCTTGTGTTACATAAATAGTTGCTAACATACCCAGATAGATCTCTCCAAATGACCCGCTTCCAATCTTCCTTCCGAGTCTATACTTGTTGGCTATCCGAGGCTCCATCCCCGACATGGTTCCTGCTGGTTTAATCTACTGGCGTACAGGTCTGCGAGTCGTTAACAGCTCACCCACCGCTACAATCAGCACGCATAGTTCCCAGAACCTAATCTGATGAAACCCTAAACTACTATGTACAAGTAATGCTTGACAAGGAGCTTTGGTTCAGCAAATCCAAGATACGCAGATATGTATTTAAACTCTCCTACTAAACCTAAGGATCAAAGTTATGAAAATCTAGAGGATCTGGATGGGCAGCCATGCACGGAGGCTGCTGTCAAGTTTGTAGTTCTCGAGGTTAGATGGCGTCTCGAAGTTGGGGCACCATCTGAAGTCTGGTAGCGCTGGTGCTGGTGGAGGGTTCTCGCTCGGGGAGGGGTGAGGAGAGGATAGCAGCTGGGGAAAGGTGAGGACACGCTTCCTTTTTCCCCTGACCTTAGACTGAGGCAAGCTCACCTCTTTGTCCCCTGACAAAACACTAACCATGGTCTCCACCGCAGTTCACCAAAACCAAGCCACACTTCCCAACCAAGCCAAGGCTGCCCAGGTATTTTGGTTGCGTTCGGTCCGAACCACTCATTTTTATCCAGGGGAAAGCTACCCCAAGCCAACCACCAAGTTGGGAAGTGAGCCCCAAGCGGCACGATGACGGTGGCGAACGTCGCTAACCGTCACCTGCGTCCATGTCGAACCCCGCTGTCAATGAAACGACGTCAGCTTGCTGGATCAGTTCCACCTTCAGAAATCGTAACGCACAGGGAGGATTCGACAAGGAAGGCACACGAACAGCAGGATATTTGCGTGTAACAACATATTATCTTGGCGAATATGCAGTGTATATGATGCTATTTTCCAAGCATTACAATCTGTTAATGGAGAACAGAATTGATGTCAGCTTCATTACGCCCCACTCTGGTCCTCCCCAAGCAAACCCTTCCTGGCAGTTGTATCTTACTATCAGATTACCCATGGGTGGCATCAAGCATTTATGTCACAATATGCAATTACCATGTGAGCTCATATAAATTGGCCACCTGCGTTGGAACCACAAACCATCATGGCTTACATCGTGGCTAATCATACCACAATACATAACATTGCCATGAATGGTGTAGAGCAGCCAGAACTCTGCAGGCCATGGTAGCTTGTTCAACAAAACAAATAAACTACTGCCACTTGAGTGAATGGGGCTCAGTAAGGTCATCCATTGCTCCATGTCTTATCCACAAATGAAGCATCCGCTGCGGAACAATTTTACAGGACCAGGCGAAGAATACCCAGCCCAATAGCACTGACCGAAACCAGGGTACCTGCACCCAGAGATCACATGCTAATGTTAGACAGTTTGCCTGGAGTAGGACGGGCAGGAGTGCAGCAGTAAGAACTGATACTGAAACCATTCTCTGTAACAACTTGCCTATGCAGTATCTGATGATTTCGAACTTGGCACCTTCTAACTCTGCCTTCAATGTGTTCACCTCCTGAATATCAAACAAGATTATTCTAGTATTAGCATAAGAATCAGAATTTGCGAGTGTTCCATGTCTCAGCATGAACCAAGGTTACATACCCTATCCATCTTGTTGGACAAGCTGCTGAGCTCCTGAGTTTGAGCTGTGATTTCTTCTTTGATTCTCCTGTAAGGTTGTGGGGTAAGGGGGTGTTACACGGGCTTGCACAAAGAGAGTGTACACCGATTCGGCACAACGATATACCACATACCCTCTTTCCAAGTTCAGATCAAGACGTTGTCCTGCTGTCACCTTATCCACCTCGTATCTGCAAGTTGACAACCAGAGGACCAAGGAGCAGATGTTATAACAGCATGTGCATAGTACTGCAGGTGCTATGGAGGTGATACACCTACCGTATTTCATTCTTTACTTTGTCCAAATCCGTCTTGAGCCCTTCAACCTCCCGGGTCAATCCAGCAAACTTCAAATCCTGTAGACCACAACTCCCACTCGATGAGTACCCCTTCAAAACAGACTCCTTGACAGTGTTTTCGACCTTACGTTCAACCACAATTCAGCCTCCTTGGTTTCGAAACCTTGGGTTCCTCGTTCAAGTTGGTGAGCACAATGTACTCAGATTTCAATCCCTTCATACCTGAAGACTTTGAATTTCCGTCTTGACCTTGGCCATGGCTGCCTCCGCCACCATCTCTGACTGCATATAGTGAAGAACGAACAGCGGCATCAACGAATGAAACGCGTTAATCGACTCCAGGATTGAATTGGATGAGGTTGTGAAACTGCTGATCGTCAAACGCACCTTTTGCATCTCTGGCTTTGAGACGAAAGTGTGCGCGGCTGTGTCGAGGCTCTCATGGAGAACTTCCGTGATGAGATGTGTGATAGCCTCGGATTGCTTCGCCGTCAACCCTTCCGCCTCCAGCCTTCTCACCTGTTTTACAGACGCGGATCTCAGAACTAGAACAGGAAGTCCGAGAAACACTTCACGACGTTGATTGCGAAAGGGGAAACAGTGGACATGGAACTTACAAGTGCGAGTGTGTCCACGAGAAACGCTTTTCTGCCGTTAGCGCTAGCTGTGACCATAGTCAGTGTTCGCCTTCCAGTGTGGAAATCTCGTCGGGGCATCGTAGGGTGGTTCGCTTGATCCTCTGGAACTGTAAATACTTGGTCACTACTTGGCAGACGCAATCCATACGGCATCACAAGCTCGCTTTGCTCGATGGGAGATCGATGGCTTGCTGATTTGGCTGCCTCGTGTGCTATATGTCTGGACAATAGGGCTATAGAAAGTGGCCGCAATACGACAATCGCCACACGTCTTCCAATCTGCTGTAGCGTGCCATGGCTACCACTTAATGCCATATGGAGAGGTTTTTGCCGCGGGCCTGTGAACCTCCACACAGTAGTTCGCTGCAAGATTTGCAGCTCCTTGACTAAACTCGCCTAGCTACGGGTATCTATACGCCAGTCTCCAGAAGAGAGCATACACGACAACAGCTTGGTACCGTCATCGTGGACCAAGTGGACTAGGAGTGTCGAGCCAGAGAAACAGTGGAGTTCTCACCACGCGCGCTGGACGAGAAGTCGATCACTCAGATGCTAAACAAGTCTTCGATCAGCTGAGAGCACTACAATGGCTTGCACACTAAGAAAGGATATTAAAGTCGACTAGGCTGACACTTATAACCAGCAGACCAGAACTCGAGGGACACCGACACATTTGAACCAATATTCTGCTCTCATCTCACCAAACCACTAGCCTTCCGTATGAAGTTGTACACGGTTGGAAATGGGACCACGTTGGGCAAGCAACGAGATGAGCTGCTCTGCTGTGTGCCAAGGGAATCTGTCAGTGACCTCTGTGTGTGAACTCGTGTAAGGACGCGGTCAGAGTAGACGACCGATCGTCAGTCACGATCGATGTGCAGATTGTTACCCTATTTACTGGGCTGTAATTATGCTACAGTTCGCTTTTTGGCCAAACAATCTGTACAGTGTGTGAATGCGACTGATCACTGATTGTGGGAGATCTGCCAAATCTCAGGTGCGATCGTTACAACGTCGCGGTCGCCATGTTTCGCCGATCGATCTGCCCACTCGATTGTGGGGCTCGATATTTGCAGACGATGCTGCATCCTAAGGCCTTGCCAAAGCCTGATTGTCAGTGGTGCCCGGAATAGCGGACGCGCGGCTCGTTTCAGGAGTATTCCAGGGCAGGCGGGAGAGCTGAACCGCACCTACATTCTGCGTATGTATGCTGAGGTTGAGTTGAATGTGGTGACCCAGCACCGGACGACGAATGAAGCGGCTAGACGTCTACATGCCGCCAAGCTATCAAGAGTGATCGTCAATACCGAAAATTGTCCCGAGATCACGCCCGTTGATCGCGTGCACACGTGAAGCCAGTCACCTGCATTGCTGGAAAAATGTGACGGAAGCCTTCCCATCGATTGGATGATTGCGTCTGACGTGGACTCACGATGTGGCAAACAGTAACACCGCTATTAGCAAACCTCTACACCGAGAAAAACAAGGATGAGGAGGCATTGTATACTTACTCTTTAAAGCAATTTTCCCCACTTTAGAAGCAAACGTACCGGTACCGGTATGGTTTCTTTGTTCCCTGCAACAAACATACGGTCTTGGGTTTAACAGCACATAAAAACTACATTTAAACGATAGCAGGACCGCGCTGTATCTGGGAAACACGCCATCCTACGCATCCTTATTCTGTACGGGTACAATGGTACCGTACTACGGTACCATTATATTGAGAGGGGGCGAAAATCAAAATAAGTGAACCAATAAACGCGGCTTCCATGGCTTCGAACTGGTGTACGCAAGGGCCCAAACTCCAAACCCCAAGGGCCCACACGAACATGCTAATGTGCCAGCGAGCACCAATACTGTGCTCAACCTAAAACTCATGAGAAGTGGAAGCGTTGGTCGGGTGGGAATGTAGAGAAAAGAGGAGGCGGGGGGGATTGGACGTGACATGAGATGAGAGTGACTGGAGAGAGGGAGAGGGGGGGGGAGATGTGAAAATGGACAGAAGGAGGGTGGTTTGTCAGGAAGAGGCTGCTACGATGTTCCCCTGTGAAAAGTGTGGATCCTGATCTCTTTTGTCTCTCCAGATTTTATTTGGAGATTTTGTGAGGTTTTGCAAAGAACCTTGATGAGGACTGAAACCTTGTATAGCAATCCCATCTTGATAATTTCCATAGAATGTTACAGTTGTAAGCAGAATGCAAGCACTGTATACTACACAAACAATGTATGGGCTAATCATCACTGCCACCATCATCATCCCCAGCGCCACTTGAGACAGGTGCCACCTTGCACGAGAAGTCGATGGTTGCCCGCCCACTGCAAAGCAGAGGAACACGCATTTAGGGGCAGGGACTCAATTTCCGGCACTTTCTGAAAGTAGGGCGACTTTAGGGTTACGTGCAAAACCTGCTGCCTCCCTGGAACTACAAGTACGCAGAGTAAAAGTGACTTACACGCTGCCGCCATGGTAAGCAAGTGTCTTGCTGTTGGAGGGCGAGTGAGCCCAGATGAGGTTGTTCAGTCCGGTTGGATTCACAGGAATAGTGCCGCCGCTGGCACCGCGGCGGAACCTGTTGAAACAGAGAAAGGAGAAGGGAGAATGGGGTTTGAGTGTGGGAGATTAATGGGAGGGGCAGGGGATCAAGAGACATCTGGGTCGGTGGGGCTGTCAGCTCGAAACCACACAGCCTCTCGAGTCTCTACCGTCATCACTGATGCCAGCACCCTGTCACCCTCTTTCAAAATGATCGCACTCACATCATGACACGGTGGCCCACTTGAACACGGTGGGGTTCCACCCCAAGGGGCTACTAAATGCCATACCATGCTAGACCGCACAGCCCCCCAGTAGCATAGCAGGGTTTTCCTCCCCCCCACACACCCCCCAGTCACACTCGCACTCACATCATGACAGTGGAACCAGTACCCCTCTTGAACACGGTGGGGTAAGCTCCCAAGGGGATGGCAGCGGGTTTCAGCGACTGCATCGTGTACCCCGTGATCAGGTAGCTGCCGAGCGTGCCGCCCATGCGGTTACCAATGATCGCGTCAGCCGGCGCCATCCTGCCGCTGCTGCTCCAGGCGAGCGAGAGCCAGCCGTTGTTGGCGCCGCTGCCCGGCTTGGCCTCCATTGCCAGCTCGATCACGTTCTTGTTCACCTGCCGCCAGTGCACCAGCAGGCTGGTTGAAAGGAAGTCCAGGGTCACAGGGAAAGAGAGAGAGGTGTGGTGAGTCGACGCAAAGAAACGGAATGCACGTCACGGTGACGTTCCGGTTCACCTGCAACCAGTGCACCAGCAGACTGGTTGGACGGAGAATTTGTAAGTGTGAAGGGATCACGAGGAAGAGATGGGGAGAGGGAGAGAGGGAGAGAGGGAGAGAAGGAAAGGTTTGGTGAGACGGCGCTCAGAAAACAGCAGACGGAACACATAAGACCGGGGAACACTCACTCATTGCTCATCTCGCATCGCTCACACGCACAAAGTGTCGACTCACAGGGGTTTGAGCTCGAGCATGTACGTGAACCCCGGGAGCGTCGACCAGGGGCAGAGCTTGGAGCGCTGGGAGGGCGGCACCACGGGCACGGGCGGCGGCTTCTTCACCGGCGGGCTGGGCGTCGGCTTGCCGGGCGACGCGCCGTTGCATGCGAAATTCACCTGCGTGCTGCCGCTGATGGGGGGAAGAGAAGGGGGGGGAAGGAGGAGGGTCGGGAGGAGAGAAGAGTGTGAGACGAGGAAGCGATGGGCGAGGATGAAGGAACCGCGTGGGTAAGTTATTCGAGGGGCGAACGCTGGCAGAACGCAGGATGATATTCGTGGGTATACGATCTGGAATAGTGGGATCGCGGCACGTCTACTGGGAAGCTCACATGTTGGCGCCGTGATACGCCACGGACTTGCCGCCGTTCGTGGAGAACCCCCAGATGATCTTATTCACGCCCTTCACGCGCACGGGAACGGACCCGCCGTCGCCCACGCTTCGCGAGAATTTCATCACGGTTTTCCCGCCGCTCGAAGCGCAGCTCTTGGCGCCCAGGTTGATGCCTCTCGCCGGCGCGACGGAGGAGTAGCTCGCGACGTGGTACGCGGAGATGGCGTTTCCCGGGTTCCCGACGACGGCGTCGGAGGGCGACATGAGCCCGCTGAAGGAGAACGCGACGGAAAACCATCCGCGCGCCGCGGCGCCCGAGGCTTCCACGGCGAGCGGAATGGTCTTGCCGTTGTTGTTGGCGTTCCAGTGCATCACAATGCTGTATCAGGGGGGGAGGAGGTGGGGGAGGGGAGGGAAGAGCGGTTAATGTTGACTGGGACATTGGGGATTATTATTCCGATGCCTAGGTATGGTGGTTTTAGCTGCACTTTTCGTGGCGGCGCTCCGCAAACCCACACTTTTTCGTTGTCGTTCGAAATTTCACTTACGCAATATTTACTCCTGATATTACTCGTCGCGGCGCTACCCTTTTGAAGCAAAGTGACTTTGTACGCTCACGTGCTTCATCGCAGCTTACCCTGGGGCGAGTTTGAGGGCGGAGGTGAATCCAGGCATGGCGGACTTGCTGCAAGACGACAGCGCGCCCGCCACCGCCGTTGCGATGGGCGCCGCCGTTGTCGCTGCAGTCGTGGTGGCGGCGGTGGAAGCGGAGGAGTTGGTTGCGGCGGGGAGGATTTGTGC